GTGGACCCAGTAAAACCGTTCTCGGATCTTCAGTAGAGTTCGTTTAACTCCCAGATGGCCTCCTGAACAATCATTATGGTACAGCTGTAGAACATCCGGTACTTTAACTTTAGGGACAACCATTTGCAAATGACAGCTGTCTCCCCGAACGTTTTCCCATTTACGACACAGAACTCCATCCTGAAGCAGCAAGCTGTCCCACTGGGCCCAATAGCTTTTAGTGGTCGAACTCATCGCTGAGACGTCACTCCACTTGGGCTTGGGAGCACTGGCCTTTATCCATTCCAGAATCGGCTTGATGTCCGGATCTTCCTGCTGTGCATGTAGTAAGCTGTCCTTCCACTCGTTGCTGAGGTGGTCTGCCCTGAGCATCCTCACGGATACCACTTCCTTACTCTCTTGCCTAGTACAATGTTTGCAATCTTCAGGACAAGGTCTTCTTGACAATGCATCTGCGTTGCCATGAGATTTCCCGCTGCGATGTTCGATCTCAAAGTCGTATTCCTGCAGTAGTTCAATCCACCTCGCAACTTGTCCTTCTGGGTTTTTAAACTGCAATAGCCATTTTAGTGCAGCATGGTCAGTTCGTAAGTGAAATTTTCGTCCCAGAAGATATTTGCTAAAATGTTGCAACGACTTTACCACAGCTAGCAATTCGCGTCTTGTGACACAGTAGTTCCTTTCCGGTTTTGACAACGACTTGCTGAAGTACGCTATCACGACCTCTTGGTCACCATTCCGTTGAGACAACACACCGCCGAGTCCTATATCACTTGCGTCTGTGTCAACTATAAATTCTTTGCTTGCATCAGGGTATCCCAAAATAGGTGTTTTGCACAGACGGTCCTTGAGCTCCTGGAATGCGATATTGCAACTTTCATCCCAGCAGAACTGTCGCTTCTCCTCGGTTAGCTTGTGCAGAGGTTTGGCTATATCTGCAAAGTTCTTCACGAATCGCCGGTAATAGGAGCACAAACCCAAAAATGCTCTAACCTGCGTCTTGTCTTTTGGAACCGGCCAATCCTTGACAGCGGCGATTTTCTCTGGATCTGTGCGGATACCTTCTTCCGATACTACAAACCCCAAAAAGTTAACTTGCCGTTGAAATAGTGAACATTTCTTCGGGCTCAACTTGAGGTTGGCACTCTGAATCTTCATGAGCACGCGTTCCAGGTTTTGAAGGTGTTCCTCAAACGTACGGCCCACGATGATGATGTCATCCAAGTAGACCAGACAGGCATCGCCAATTAGCCCGGTAAGTACAAGTTCCATCAGCCTTTCAAACGTTGCTGGAGCATTGCACAACCCAAACGGCATTACTTTGAATTGCCACAGACCCTTTCCCGTCGAGAACGCAGTTTTCTCCTTGTCCTTAGGGTCAATTTCAACTTGCCAGTAGCCACTTTTTAGATCCAGCGTGCTAAACCATTTTACTCCTGTAAGCATGTCCAGCGTGTCATCAATTCTTGGCAAGGGATAGCTGTCCTTCTTTGTAACGTCGTTCAGACGGCGGTAATCAACACAGAACCGCATGCTGCCATCCTTCTTTTTCACCAGCACCACTGGTGAACACCATGGACTAGAGGAAGGTTCAATAACACCATCCTTCACCATTCCTTCAATCATGGTTTCCACTTCCTTTTCACGTGCTACCGGCAATCTTCTTGGCCGCTGACGGATAGGCAATTCCTCTCCTGTGTTTATTTTGTGTTGAACTAGGCCAGTCTTTCCTATGTCAGCATCATTTGATGAGAATACATCGGCGTACTTGAGTAACAACTTCTTCGCCTTGACCAATTCGTTCGGGGACAGAACACTGCGACAGTCTTCCAAAAGTGTGGTCACTCTCGTTTCTGAATCCTTGCTGGGGGTCCCACTCGATATATATTGGCACTGACGTAACCAATCCACTTCCTCACAAGTACCAACCAGTGTGCCTTTTTCTATAATCTGTTCCCGGTCGCAAAGGTTCAGCACACGTACTCCTGAGATGTCAGTGGTCCTGACCAAGGTTCGAGCTACTTTCCATGGAAGGTCATTGTTTACCCTTTCCACAAGTACACAACGGTGAGCTTGCCCAGCGTTTCGAGGTAGACTAACCGGAACAATCGTTTCCGATCTCGGCGGAAGAACAATCTTCTTGATGCTGTACACGTTCCCTGGTAACGCACCTTCCATAAAAAGTTCCTCCTGTCCACATTTCAAAACACCTTGCTTAACGTCGATCTCACAACAATTATTCCTCATAAAGTCTAGGCCTAAGATGCAGTCGTCCATTATATCAGCCACGATGACATTATGCAGGTAGATCACGTTGCCTAGCTTCAACTCCATCTCCTTCTCTCCACGGACGGGTATACGCTGACCGGTGGCTGTTACCAAATTAAGGCGTTCTCGGTTGTATGCGGAGTCCCCAAGGAACTGACTTATAAGTTGGGAACTAACAACCGTACGAGAGGCTCCAGTGTCTATGGTCAGCTTACACGGCATTCCGTTGATCTCGCCCTTTATGATTAGGCTGTTCCCATCATGGGTTTGTGAGATCGAGATCCTTGGGGCTCTTTTAACATCAGCCAGCACCCGCCCCGCAGTTCTGGCTTTTACTCGTTTCCCTGCCGCTGCTGGGCGGTGCTGTTGGCCGCACTACCCTCCTGAGATCGTTCAATTTCCCTTTCTAGGGTTCGCTTAGGGCAGCTGGATCGAAGATGGCCCTTTTCCCCACAGCCATAGCACCTTGGGCTGTATCCTTTGTTGCGGTCGCGAACTGTAGCTGCTGCAACCTCCCTGACGCGATGGGAACGATGATCCTGCCGCACGGCTTCCACTTCCAGTGCATGGGCCAAGGCGTCCTTAAGCGTCTCGTGGTGCCCGAGCCTCACAGCAGCTCTGACTTCCAGGTCGCGGATGCCGTCGATGAATGTCTGCACCAGGTTCCCTTCAATGAGCGCAGGTACAGACCGGTATGCTTTTCGCACCAGCTTCTCCACTTCTAGAGCCCACTGCTGCAGGTTTTCGTTGATGCGCTGCACACGATCTTTAAGCTGCGCACGAAAGACGTGTTCCAGGTGAGCGTCGCCATATCTCGCCTCCAATGCCTCAAGGAGTTGCTCATAAGTCACTTCCTCACCGAGAGCTTCCAGAACTGTTAAGGCCTGGTCGCGCAGGCCTAGTGTGAGAGCAGTCATGGCCTGACTTTTATTCCAGCCGTTCGCCTTCATAACAGCCTCGAACTGGATTTTGTAGGCTGACCAGGAAGAAATCCCGTCGAATGGTGGCACCTTGAACCCACGTAGCGAAGGTGTAGTAGCTACTACGGGAACTGAAGTTCCCTCGCCAAGTTTGAGTTCGTCAAGTGATTTCCTCATGTCAGCCATTACGTTGTCAACCCGATTGTTCACTAGGTCATTTCGCGTTTCAGCTTCGGTCTGGCGGTTTTCTTGTTGAGCAACCTTATCTTTCACCTCCCTTATCTCTTTCCCGAAGGTAGCGTGAAGGTCCTTCATGAGAAGCATCTGTTCCTCCTGTCGGCGGGCCTGTTCCTCTTGTCCGCTCTGCAGCTGCTCTTTCAACTGACGGACCTGTTCCGCCTGCTGACGAGCCTGTTCCTGCAGCATCACCATCAGAGCACCTAAATCGGGTGCTGCAGATGGAGGAGCTACTGACGGGCCTGCAGCCGGCGGCTGGCCCTCCGACGTCAGCGGCGTTGCACCACCAAATCTTCTTTGGTCCGTCTCCTGCTGGCGTTGATTTCGGGTACGGACACCCTCCGTTTCCTCCTTAGGTAAAATCGGCATGATTTTATCCCACTTCTGACACCAATTGTTACGAGCTTGAGGTTCGTGACAATAAAAATTGCCGATAAAATTACCTAAATTAACACTTTAATTTACTTTACACAATTAGAGTTAAAACACTAATAATTTAAACACACTAATTCACTTAATTCCACTCCGAAGCTTCGCTTGTTTCGCCCAAATCAACACTGCCTCGATCGCATCTTGCAGCGCCTATATATTTGAATTAGCAAAGAAATATCCAGAATGTTCAAGTAAACACGCGGAAGGTACCGAGCGTTCGAGTTTCGACTAGGCGCTGTCAGTTGAGCGATTTGTGATGTCATTTTCTCAATGCTCCCCTCGCTCTCGTTCCTGACACTAGATGGCGCTAGTTGACTTATTCATGCAACAATACTTTAGACTATAAGTTAGTTTACAAAAGTATAGATAATATTTTGGAGGGATATTGTGATGCAGACTGGGGAGGGGATTTCAATGATAGAAAATCAACTACAGGCTACTTATTCAAATTCTCTAACTGTCTAATTTCATGGAGCTCAAAGAAACAAGTTTCTGTTAACTTATCTTCTACAGAGTTTGAATATATTGCCATTAGTATGGCAGCCAGTGAAGCCTGTTGGCTTGTTAATTTGTTACAAGATTTCAAAATAAATAATATATGTCCTATGCACATCTATTGTGATAATGAGTCAGCCATATCTGCTGCACTTTACTGATACTATCAAACGATTAAAACATGTTGATATCCGTTACCATTTTATAAAAGAATTAATTAAAAATAAAATGATATGTTTAAAATATGTTAAAACAACTGATCAACCTGCTGACATGCTTACAAAATCTTTAAGTAGAGAATTGATAAATCGTTTCTTAAAAAAATGTGGTATAGGTAACATTGATAAAATTTAGTACTTACATATTTGTTTTGTTAACCAGTTTAATTCGGTGCAATTACATTGAGTGGGGGGGGTGTTAGAATATGGCAATGTAATTTCACCTTAATTTAATTTTTGGTGTTGGTAACCCTGTCTCTTTCTTCAATATAAATTGTCATGGTGTGCACAAGGTGTTCAAGTAAAAACCATTTACGTTTATAAAACTACGTTATTTATTTTATTACAACATTTTACAAATAAATTATTTGATTTGATTTGATTCTTCATACAAAGTATCTCACACATACTTGTACTTGAACTTTAAAGTTCACACGTTAACCACGTGAACCATGTTGAAAACCTGAACCAGGATGGTGCCTGCCAGGACAGAGCCTGATGCATGTTCAGGGAACACAACTTCCACGCATACAGAGTACACGACTTCCACGCATACAGAGTAAACGACTTCCGCGTATACAGAGTATACGACTTCTGCGCATACAAAGTATACGTCTTCCGCGCATACAGAGTACACGATTTCCACGCATTCGGAGTACATGACTTCCGCGCATATAGAGTACACGACTTCCGAGGCTGCGCCATGTACAGAATACGTGCGCTCCTGAACAGCGCTCACCACGCGTGCAGCACACGCGTTTGCCGGAACCAGGACATGCTGCAGCTGGTCACAGCAATGCGTTTCGCCCAACAAAGCACACACTCGTCTCATAGTCGCACACATGCAATAAAATCAGACGTACTACTGTAACACATAAAAGAAAACATATTAAAAAGATTCAGTCGGAACTTAATTTAAAAAAAATGCAGTGCAACTCTCGGAACACCATTCGCCTTTTCAGGGCACCATGCACTGAGCTGCAGCCTGGGCAGTCCCGCCTCCAGCTCCAGATAATAACTTCAGCACATACCGATCGCTTGGTAACTGTTTACGCCCGATTGCCTTATCTCGAGCGGGGTGAAGCAAGGTTAGCGAGGTACGGGAGGCGGAGGCTAGCTGCATCGTAAGCGCATAGACAGCGGCTCTGTTTGCATCGAGCCGAGAGAGAAGAAGGACGGCGGCGAAGCCGGGCGGTCCGCCGCGAGGCTGCAAGCCTCTGTAGGCGCGCGGCGCCCGCACCGGTGCGCCGACGTTCCCGGGCAGGACGTTTTCTTCGTTGATAACGGTCGAGAGAGTAATATAATTGCGCGTCGAAGGGACGATCTTAAGTTATCTTGTATTAGGTCGTGACTCGATAACTAGGCTTAATTCTTTAGTGTATTGTGCGAAACCGGTTCGCTTATATATTGAGAACCTCCTTGTGTTGTCTTAGACTTATGTTAATGGAGCGCGCCATTTTGAATTTGTTATTGAATATTAGAATATAACCTAAACCGCCTCGAATTTACTATCTATTTGATCGCGTTACATGGCAGAGGACGGCTAGGAATTTGTAATGATTAAGGGACCTTTTATGCAGTTAATTGAATCGACGCGGTGTTATACATTGAACTTTGACCTACTGTCCTTGAGTTGTACCGCGTGTCCCTAATTAACGTCGATGGACTTGATTGTTTGAACTTAAAGACAATTAATTGGACATTAAATAATAAGTGATAAACGAACATAGTTTCCTAGAATCTGAGGTGTTCTGTGGCTGCCTGCCCCTTAGATGGATCCCAAATTTGAAGAGAGGCGACGCCTTTGGATCTGCTGTTCTGCAACCAGCGGGGATGTCAGGTTACACATTGAACACGTACTAAACACAACTCCCACACACACCTACTATTTCACCTGAATCTTCCTATAGTTAACCCTACTTCGATGGTAAAAGGTAAGTTTTGTTTGATTCTTTGTTAGCCGCTATAGCTTAATATTCCACAGGTCTTTGACCCTCCCCTTGTCTACTCGTCTAGTTGGACTCCTATGGGCCCGAGTCTAACGACCTTTGTCAGGGTAGCCTGAGGCAGTAACATTTGGTAGCAGGAGCGTGGTCTCCCGGCGCAATACGTAAAGTTGGTAGCAAGACAGCGGTTTTAACCACGTGATTGTTGGTTGCGTTTTGTTTTCAATACGTAATAATAATTTTTGTTTTGTTCGCGTGTTATTTGTTAGCGGATAGGATCGGTGTATAGAACCACGTAATAAAAATATTTTTTGTGTCTTTTCTTTTCTCTTCTTTGTTCGCTTACTTTGTTGGTGGTAGGTAAAATTTGAACCACGCCCGTGGGCGGCGTAAGCGGAGTGTTTAGGTACCGCATCGCATCGAGTAGAGTTTATAATTACCGTTGCCACGTAAGCGTGGCAATTGTAATTTGGTGAATTATTGTATTATCGTTATTGTTCGTGTGTATTTGGTATTTGGTCTGTTGGCTAAATTATTAGCGTAATAATTATTAATTAGCGTTGCGTCTTGTTGACCGACTGTAGTGAGTGCTTTCGATAGTAATGTGTTGATATTGTAGCAGCCAGATTAATCAAACCTAAACGGGAATAAATAATATATACTCCGCTGCTACCATAACGCGGAAGGCGAGAATAAATAAAAAAAACATTTTATTTCCTAATTATTCTTGGCTACTGGGATACTGCGGACTGTATATAGATAATTTGACGTTCTTATAAAGAAACAAGAAGCAGCCGCAAATATCATTCAGCGCCACACCGACTTCACACGCCGCTATCGTCACGTATCCGTCGACCAATGGTGAGCCGTTTCTTCAACGCCGCAGTTCGTTTCCTCTTGCTGTTCCGGAGCTGTATTCCACACCGCCGCCGCCCGCCGACTACGCGTGCGCACCGATCTGCATGTCTTATATAGCCCGGTCCAGCGACGTAGCTTCGTGAACAACAAACAAGTCTCACGCCGGGAAACGAAACGTAGATAATTGTATATTTTAAATAGTTTTCATTGGTCATAAAATAAGCAATATAATTGGCTAGGCAAAATATTAATTGTTACCATTGGCAAATCAATAGTGAGCCAGCCATATAAATATAGGCAAGGTTGATGCAAAAGATATTCCATTCCGAATCCCATTCGACAGTACATTCATAAACATAAACAGTAGTTTCATTTCTTCACCTTAAAGAAAACCACTCGGAGTCTGTTAATAGTGGACAGTTCGTCTCCACTATTACAATATAATTAGTTTGATTTGATAGTCGGTTGCCTTAACGGCGCGGCGTCTCGTCGACCGACTGTAGTTGGTGTCGCGGAGGAAATTGTGTTTGATTTAATTAACGTAAAGTGTGTCTGACTTTGAATGAAGAAGTTATAAAGATGTAGACAGGTTTAAAGGTCACACAACAGTTTCTTATAAGCGAGATATTTTATTGATAGGTTTTTAATTATTTTATTAGTAATTTAAAAGAGAATTGTAACTTGCTATTTAATTCAAATGATTATTAATATTGAGGTTTTTTATCCCTTCAGCGTAGAATGTCGATTATGTTAGGTATACTGAATGCTGCCCATTATTTTGTATTTTTCTTAAGCTTCATTTAATGAAAAAAAAAATGAGTTGAACACGTTAAATGAAGCAATGGAAAAATTTTGAAAAGTTTAATTACGTAATTTAAATTAAACATCATAACGTATTGATGTGCAGCTTATTGAACGAAATTACGGTCTGAAGGAACCATTCCGTTATTGAGTGCCTTGGGTTCAAATCGATTTATACGATGTATCATGAATTTGCCTTCCACTTTAGGTTCACTTTTGTGTTTGATGAGGTGGCGGTGAACATAATATATCAACATAAGTATACCACCAGCGTTTTGTATTTGTGTTAATCTGATTGTATTAATTAAATTAATTGTGTAGTGTAATTGTTTTGATGCCCGGCGCTCTCTTGCGTGCTACTGTGCCCCGGTTCAAGTGCCGGTCTGATGTAGGCAGCTCCAACTGAGTGGCGGCCGCCTCCACTGATCTTTGAGTCGTCAGGCCACTTGTTAAACGGTTCTATTGTCGACGGTCTCAGGGAAGGTGTACCACCCGAGTGGCGATTGTGTAAAGGTTCGCGCTTTATTGTATTCGGGTTCAAACGCGGCGTAGCCTCCAATTGGTTAGTGGGGAGACTAGGGCTTATTTGGAGCTTTGAATGTTTAGATTAAAAAAAAATTTGCTTTGGTTTTACGCGAAATGTTATGTTCATTGTAGCGATGTTGTTCGTTGTAGTTGTGTTAGTTGTAGCGGTCAGTTTTTGCTGTAGTTTTTCCGCGAAATGTTTCGTAGTTGTACAAGAAATTTAAGGCCATAGCTTCAGCGAGATTAAAGACCTACATCTAGCAGACAATGAAACTATGGTCAGTTTTGATGTGCAGTCATTGTTTACATGCTTACCTGTTGACGACTGCATCTCAATTGTAACTAGAAGGCTGGAAGAAAACAACATGCCCGTAGAATATGCAGTATTACTCAGACACTGCCTTACATCTGGCTACCTATTGTGGAAGGAGGAGTTCTAGAAGCAAGTAGATGTTGTGGCGATGGGCTCACCTGTATCTCCTATTGTCGCCGACATATTCATGGAAGACTTTGAGGAGAAAGCCCTACTTAGTTCTCCCATAAATCCAAGATTCTACAAGCAGTACGTAGACACTTTCACAATTCTAGCTTTAGACAAAGTAACTGCATTTTTAGACCATCTTAACTCAATAAATTCTAAAATTCAGTTCACAATGGAGTTGGAGGCAAACAATTCGTTAGCTTTTCTAGATGTGTTAGTAATTCGGAATCCTGATAACACCTTGAGCCATACTGTGTATAGAAAAAAGACCCATACAGATAGATATTTAAACGGTGATTCTCACCACCATCCTTCACAGTTAGCTACCGTGGGTAAATCTTTGTTTCAGAGAGCACGAGGGATCTGTGACAGTAAACACCTGGCTGCAGAGCTCCACCATATCAAGCAAGTTTTGCATGACAACAAGCTTCGAGTCCCGCGCCTACGTCACAGTGAACGAGTGAAGCCGGCCGCAGTCGAGCGTGTACCTGCTGTACTGCCATATGTTAGAGGAGTCACTGACAAGATTGGCTACATCTTGAAGCGCGCTTCCATCAAAACATACTTCAAGCCGCTGAAGAAGATTGGTCAGTTTTTACCATCAGTCAAGTGTAATGTCCCTCTGCAAGATGCAAGAGTGTACAAGCTTGATTGTGAATGTGGTCTCTCCTACATAGGACAAACTAAAAGATCAATAAAAACCCGCGTTAAAGAACATATAGCTGATGTGAAGAATCGACGCTCCGGGAAGTCTGCAGTCTGTGAACACGTACAGGATCGCCTCCGTCACTACATCAGATTTGATAGACCGCAAATTCTCGCTAAAGAACACCGATTCCTTCCAAGGATGATTCGCGAGGCTATTGAAATCAAAAAACATCCTAATTTCAATAGAGAAGATGGCTGGGTGCTACCATCTGCTTGGGATCCTATAATAAATAATATTAAATCCCAACCCAAGCATACAACTGCAAGACTTCAAGATACCATAAGTTCATACTCCATAGATCGGAACAAAAGTTAAATTTTAATCTATGGTAACCGCGGTTAACTATGACATATGGACGTTGAACATCTCAGTCCCGCCCGTAACCATGAGTGCTGTAAAGCGTTCGAAACGTCGGGTATTTAAAAAGTTAAATATACGCGATAAATTCCGTAAAAACTAGTATTATTTCAATTTGCTGTAGTTTGTTTCTAGGTTGCATAGTAGTTTGAGCATTAATGCTTTGA